ATTATGATTATTTTTTTTTTTTTTTTAAATTCCTTACAAATTATCGTCGTATCTTTGTTTTATTGATTTATTCTTTTTTTCTTTTTTTTTTTTTTTTTTAATGTCAAATTTAATATAATATTTTAATCATTTACTTCCTTGTTATTTTTTTTGTTTTTCATCTCTTAAAATGTAATCAAATATAATATAACGGCCATAGAATTATTGCTTCTACTTTGGTTTATATTCCCATTCGTCATTATCATCGTCACACCAATTGATTTTCTTTCTTTTTTTTTTTTAATTTTCATTCATCCATTTCTCTTTTTTTTTTTTGCTAATTATCAATTTTTCTTTTCTTTTGTATTTTTTGTTGTTTTTTTTTTTTTGGTTTCATCCTAAATTAGTGTACGCATTGTTTTTTTTCATTATTATTAGAGGTACACAATTAATAAATTCTATGTAAACGTAAATATTACACGTACATTGTTTCGCCATTTTTATTCAATTTATTTATTTGTAATTAATATAATATAATCAATCAATTAATTAAGTAGTCATTTCGATCGAAGTATCGTTTTCATTTTATTTTTATTTTTTTTTTTTTTTTTTGGTAAATACTGCACAAAACTTATCATCATTATTACTCTTTTAATTTATTTTTTTTATTTTCGTTCACCCTTTTTTTTCATTTATTATTACTATTATTATTAATATTATTATTATTAGTAATAATCTTATTCTTATAATTCTTATTATTAATATTATTATTATTCTTTGTTTGTTCATGCGTGTATTTTGTGTGTTATGTCTGTGACTGTGTATGTGTATTTTCCTCCATTTTGGTTTTTCTTTTAAACGTAGGTAGCGCTGTATGAAAGGAACACGGCTAGATCGTTCATCAAAATTCAGAGACACAAAGTGGTTTTTCTTTTTTGCACGATCTCTCTTTTCTTTTCTTTTTTTTTTTCTTTTCTTATTTAATTATTTATTTGTTGTATCGACTTTTTGTTCGTTTTATTATTTTTCATTTGTTCTTTTGTTTTGTTTTTTTTTTTAGTCGATCGAGGAGAACGAACGGCAATTATTTATTTCTTTGTTTTTTTAATTAGCATCTTTTTCTTTTCTTTCCATTTTCTGGTTTGTTTGTATCCCTTCCCCACCCCCCACCCAACCCCACCCGACCCCACTCACTCTCACTCACTCACATTCTCATTCTTTTGTTCATATCTCTTTTTTGCGCACGTGATTTGTTTTTCCCCCCCCACCGCTCGTATTTATTTGTGTTTTTCTTGTTTTTTTTTTTTCGTCACTTTTCTTTTTTATTTACTTTTTTTTTTATTCTTTTTTTTTTCTTTTTTGTTTCTCTTTTGTTTACTTCGTAAAGGCAATTTTACAGAGGTAAAAGAAGTCAACGGAACCGTTGTCCTACGTAGGTGGTGGTATCGAGATAACGTTCGATAAGAAATTGGATATATATAGATATATATATATATATATAGAAAGAGAAAGAAGAATTTTTTTTTTTCTTATTTTATTTATGATTATTATCCTGCATTTTCATTCTTCTTCGTTATTGAAGAATTATTATTTTTATTATTATTATTATTATTTTTTTTTTGCATTTTAAGATTTTTAGTTTCCTCTCCTATCCCCTCCCCTCCCTCCCCCTTGTCAACTAACACACGTAAAAACATTTGTCTATGTGTTTCGTTTTAATCGTTGATTATTTAAGTCTGTTAAATTAATATGCGTTTACCTAGGAAAAAAAACCTCGTCAAATTGTTCAATTGCGCGCGTGTGCGTGTACCTGTACGTGTTTGTGTGTGTGTGTGTGCACATCCTCTCTTATAATTCTTTTTCAAGATCAAACGACACAATTTGCGGCACGAAGAAGAATCTTTATTTTCTGTTTATTTTGTGTTCTCACTGATATGCTCTATCCTGACAAAAATTCTTTCTCGACGGAAATGAGAAAATTTAATATATATTTATATATATATATATATATATATGTAATATGATATATGTAATATGAATAATACGAGAGTATATAATATGTCTATAGTCTCTGTATTTTATTAATATTTTGCTTCAGCTCTTTTTCCCTTACTCTCCTTGTTCCCCTTCCACTTTCTTTTCCCCTTCTCCTATCACTTTCCCCTTCTCCTATCACTTTCCCCTTCCCTTCACGTTTCCCCTTCTTCTCTGATTTTCCCTTCCCTTTGTGTTTCTCCCACTTCTCTCATTTCCCCTTCCACTTTCTTTTCCCCTTCTCCTATCACTTTCCCCTTCTCTTCGCGTTTCTCCAACTTCTCTCATTTCCCCTTCCCTTTGTGTTTCTCCCACTTCCCTCATTTCTCCTTCCCATTCGTGTTTCCCCTTCTTCTTCCATGTCCCCCTCTCCTATCTTTCAACGATCACAACATGACTTGTATTTATCTCTTAATTTTATCGTTCTCTCTCTTTCTATTTATTTTTCTTCTTTTTTTTTTTTTATTCTTTTTCTTTTTTCGTTCTTTTCATCGCTTCTCGTAATTTTCTTTGTTTTAAAAAACGACGGAAAAATTGTTTCACAATTAATTATAAATATAC